CTCAATAGTCTCCGTATAGGTGATTTAAATCCAGGTATACTAATATATGTATATAATCAGGTGAGGTTTACACTGTCACTTTAAAGTAGTAGTTAAGATACTTTAGTTCACCCTCGTGTATCTAAGTTAGTCGGAAGGCCACCACAATAATGGGCGCTCCTTCGATCACGTCTTAGCTGCTGCGAGGTGTGAGTGACTGTGTGACTGTCTGAGAGGCTCGACCCACACTACTACTGTCGGCAGTTACCACCACCTCACCTGCCTGCCTGCCGTCCACCCCAGCTCACCTCCACCAACCTGACCTACCTCCTCCCCTCCCTTCACTCTCTCTCTCTCTCTCTCTCTCTCTCTCTCTCTCTTTCTCTCGTTCATCAGGGTGGCAGGAGTTAAGTATGATGGTAAAAAAAAGAGAATGGGTATTTTACAACTCATTATTATCGTCAATGTGGTCAGGTGTGTGTGTGTGTGTGTGTGTGTGTACAAGCTCTCGTAAGGGGTGACGTAACCCAAAGGCCCAGATTCTACAACAATAATATTCCCAGGTAATATTTACATCCATCCATCTACCTGGTGATAAACACACACACCTCCAATTAACAATAAAGTCTTAACCTAATCCTGACGCCATTTTGAACCTCATCCTCACATCATAAGTTAGTGAAAAAAAAGAAGAATATTAACCATAAAAAGCCAAATTAAAAACCCATCTTTGAGTCGTAGTTGAAGTGAACCAGACTCGTTCTAAAACCCATCTTTGAGTCGTAGCTGAAGTGAACCAGACTCGTTCTAACATATAAACTCGTATTACGGGAACAAAAATATTGACTTACGAACTCTTAAGAATCAACACACGATGATCAGAGTTCTCAGATAAGAACATAAGAGCATAAGATAGTCCCAGGCTCCCTATTTGCTGCCACATATAGAGAAAGATGTTCAACGACACGTGATTGGTTGACGTAAGATGCGTCGTAAAGATAACAGTGGTGACCAGAACATATCAATATGGCTTACGAATGACCATGAGACTCGACTGCAATGAGATTTGGGGAGAATTTCTCTTACGATTCGCACAGAGAGAGAGAGAGAGAGAGAGAGAGAGAGAGAGAGATGTTAATTTGATGGATAGTTATTATGAAAGATATTATATAGATCATCTCTCTTGTCTGTCTGTCTGTCTGTCTGCCTGTCTGTCTGTCTGCCTGTCTGTCTGTCTGCCTGCATGAAGGGTTAAGACAACATGACAGTCTGGGTTTGGAAGAGGAGGAGGAGAAGGTGGAGGTAGTAATGTGGGTGGAGGAGGGGGATGAGGAGGAGATGAGGGCGGAGGTGGTGGTGTGGGTGTAGGAGGAGGGGTCGGTGAGGGTGGAGGAGGGATGAGGGCGGAGGTGGTGGTGTGGGTGTAGGAGGAGGGGTCGGTGAGGGTGGAGGAGGGATGGTTGAATAGTATCTAGGGCAGGGTAGACTAACTAGCGCCCCCGCATCTCCCAACTGACCTTGACACACACACACACACACACACACGAGAAGAGTTCCGTCTTCCACACCCACGCGAGTTCCGTCATCTACACTCACGCCCACACACACACACACACACACACACACCTGACACTGGCCCTCCATCCTTAGTGAATTAAACCTCAGGTACTTAAGGTGACTTGTGTTCAGTTTTATTTGAACACCTGTGTCATTCATTCTTGGAGAGAGAGAAAGAGAGAGAGAGAGAGAGAGAGAGAGAGAGAGAGAGAGAGAGAGAGTCAATGCTCCAGCGTGTGTGTGTCGTCAGGTTGGACTGTAAAGGAGTGCAGAAGGTCACCGGGAATGGCAGCAGCAGCAGTAGTAGTGGTGGTAGTGGTAGCGGTGGTGGTAGTGGTAGTGGTAGAGGTGGTAGTGGTAGTGGTGGTGGTAGTGGTAGTGTGGTGGGCGGTAGAAGTGGTGGTAGTGGTGGTGGTGGTGGTAGTGGTAGTGGTGGTGGTAGTGGTAGTGGCGGTGGTAGCGGTGGTAGTGGTGGTGGTGGGTCTCCTGTTGCGTAGGTCAGCCTCCCTCGGGTACAAGACGGTCAGCCGGGACGTGTGTGTGTGTGTTTTTCAACGGTCAGGGGGGGGGGGTTGGAGCGGTTGTTCCACTTGTTTCTCCTCTCTGACTATGAAAGACGACTGGCCCACCATTAGGTTAGGTCAGGTCAATAAACCACATAACTCACCCACCCACCAAGCTTTTGTTATCAATTTTGTGTTATGGTTTAGATACGTCTACATTACGCTCGAGTATAAACAAATCTTGCACGCCATCTGGTGATTAAGAGAGGAACTAGAGAGACATCATCGACAACCAAGCTCCTCATTTATCTCTTCTTAGCAACATGAATTGAACTGAACTTTGGTTATAGATTCCTTGATAATTTTTGTTACAGCTTCACATTTCTGCTAAACGCTTGTTATTGTTTGTTTACGCTGATGCACTGAGAGAGTGAGGGAGGGGGTGTGGGTGAGGGTGAGAGAGGGAGCTGAGGGTGAGAGAGGGAGCTGAGGGTAAGGGAGAAGAGGGGATGATAAGCGTTCGTGTATTCTTCCTAACATCTGTTTTACCCCAGCAGGCACTACCTGTCGAAGCATTGTTATGTATGGTGCACCTGGAGGAGTGTGTCCCCAGCACCTCGACCACACCCCGTCAGGAAGATCATATGCCCTACGTATTTAACCCCTTGAGGACGATGACTTAGCCCTTCAGGTCGATAACTTAACCCCTTGAAGACGATAATTAACCCCTTGAGGACGATGACTCAACCCCTTGAGGACGATGACTTAGCCCCCTTAAGGACGATTGACTCTTTCCTTCTCCCCTTTCCCCTCCCGTTTCCCCTCCCTAACCCTACCAGCAAGAGTTCGTGTGTGTGTGTGTGTGTGTGTGTGTGTTACCCCCCAAAAAACTCACCTCCTCTCACATTTCGGAACCTTTACTGTATCAACCCAGCAACCCAGCAACCCAACCACCCAACCACCCAACCCACCCACCCTAACCATGCATAGAACGACCTTGATAAGTCATGTTTTTGTCATGTTTTTTTTTAATTATTATTTGTTTTTTTAGCATAAACGACAAAGAAGTTCAGAAAATTTATCACAATATGAGGCAATAATTGACTCAGGATACCAAGTGTGTCGGGGGCGAGTGTCTTAATTGAGGCCAGAGGGTATACAAGGTCCTTAAGTGGGATTTCACCACGAACGACATCCACCTTTATGAAAACGTCAACAAACATAACATACATACATACATACATACATACATACATACATACATACATACATACATACATATACCAGGATGATTTGAACTAATGTACAGACAAAAAGTAATCACTGTTAATGCCGTCTTCTGTTCTTTGTTATTTTGTTATGTTATTGGAAAAGTTCTCCGGGTTATTGAATTATAAGAAGGTCAGTTTTAATTATATTTGAGCATTTTTTTTTTTGTGTGTGTTGTGTTTTTATTATTGTGATGTAGTTCTGAAGGTTGATAATAAATTTAGATCTAAATTTATTCAACACTAAAATTATGATGATGATGATGATGATGATGATGATGATGATGATGATGATGATGATAAGGGTGTGTGATTTAGACTCCTCCTTTTGTAAACCATAAACAGTGACCATTATTAGTGTATCATATACCCACTTCACTATACAACTATCATCATCATCATCATCATCATCATCATACCAACACAAACCACCTCACACTACCAACACATACCACCAGCATCATCATCACTCTCACCATCACCACACACCATCACACCCCAGGAACAAACAAGAAACACAAAATCCTACATAAAGGGTTTCTGTGTAAGAAGGAAGTGTTAGGGGCTGATAGGTCAGACCTCCTTACCTACACCCAACCCCCCTCCCCCTAAAAAAAAAATCTGGACCAATCTCACTAGCCAGATTTTATGAACCATTATCTGTTCAAGTGGTCAGACACAAGGGAACCATTGCGATAGAGAACGACGGTTTTAATTGGTGTTAACTGAAGCTTAAGACACGGCGAAAAAACTCCTCTCGTGAGATTTTCTGTTCAGATTGGGTATTAGTGTGTACCCCAAGGTGAGCATCTCACGGTAACTTGAAGTCGATATTTTTTGACTAATTTGATGATCCTACAATTACCTGCCAATTAGGAAGTGACTGCACTCACAGGTAAGAAAAACAAAAGGGAAAAAGTTTTATGGTGGATCTGAGCGTTGGCTTGCGTAAGTATAAAGTTGGTGAAGGAGTTCGCCAGGGTCAGCGTGACGGCCACCACCACCCACCTGCCCTCCTGGACACGCCCTCAGACACACACACACACACACACACCTCACTACAGCTTCTAACACTTGCACTACTTTTACTTTTGTTCTGCCACCTTCACTGCACCACTTGACACATACTCCCACTCGTGCTATAACTCTCGCCAGCTTCCCACTAGGACCTGGACGTCACCAGCACCCGCCTCAGTAACTCCGGCGAGCATCACAACACGAATTAAAACACTGCACTTTATAAGGCCACTGAGAGTACGATTAATACCAGAGTGTGACCGTCTCCCCCATGGCTACAACACGTGGCAGCTCCAGACATTACAGGTCCAATGGTCCATATGAGTTAAGTCTTCCATCACAAGAGTCTGAGGTGGCCTTGAGTCATGAGTCTCACAACACCACATCCTTGACGATCATATTTCCTTGTCGTACACGTCAAGGGGAGTCACACCACCTAGAGTGCCGCCCGAGTACTACACCAGCTGGAGAGTGTGTGTGCTCTAGTCCACGTATGTGTGTGTCCGTAACTAGAGTGAAAGTTATCCCATGAGGAAGACGGTAAGGGTGAGTGCCACGCCAGCTATGGAGGGAGGTTGTGACCCGCCGAGGTAGGCACGGGGGAGGGGGGGGGGTCACTACATGTCCCCAAAGCGGTGCCTCTTACACCCACATGCGCCTCAACTCGGGGCGGACTTGCATTTTTTTTACGGGGTTTAAAACTCGTGCAGCTAAACACGTTCTACATGAAAACTTGAGCCAGAGAGCCACCTGGTGTACACACGTCTCTTGTGACAACACCCGAAAAACCTCCAGCATTCCCGCGGCTTCAGCTTCAACCTTAAGTTTCCCTCATCTTATCCTTTTTTTTTCCGAGTGGTCATGATATGTTAAGGCCAGGAGAGTGTTCTCTGGCCCCTCTCCCCTCTGCCTCCA